CTATTTCTGTTTTAATTACCAATAATAATATTATTATTAATACCTACTACTGTTATATCATTAAGTTATATTAAATATACTATTGGTTTTTATTATACATACTAAATTATTAACATTGATTTTTCTATTATTAAAGTTCCTTAGTATTAGCCTCAAAAAGTGAACAATATAAGGATTAATTTTTTAACAAAAGTTTGGCCTTCAATAAAACATAATAATAATGAATAAAATAAAAAAAAAAAGATATCAAAAATTTTATTGTTCAAAACTTCCTTATTAAGAAAGATCAGCTGGTCTTATAAAGACCAGTCCAAGACTGGTCCTAAAATTTAGGACCATGGTTCAAAGGGACCAGTTCAAAGACCAGTCCCAAGACCGGTCTTTTAAAGACCAACACAACCCTACATAAATTCTTCTATTTCATTGTCAATTCCAACTATTGAAAGAGAAATGTGCTCATCAATATCATTTTCTGATAATATAGTATGCATTTCCCCTCTAAGATAATCATGATTAATTGCTGAATAAATATATTCTGTTTCATCATTAGGTATAACAAATGTAACAAATGCTACAATAGCACATTTTTTCTCAAGTTTTCATTTAAGAACTTTTGTAATTCGTTCTTGAGCATTATCCATGAGTTGAGGCATATATGGAAGTTTTTTGTATTTTTCCAGATTATCTATGAATTTATTGAAACTATATTTTGGATTTTTTACAGATGGGACTATTGCCTGCCAACATGTCATTGGTGTTATATTTTGATGCGCTCTTTCTGGATCTTTTTTAACACTATATTTGTCAAAACATATATCATCTGATGGTGGTTCAGTATCCCTTAAACTGTTTCTACAGCATATATGCTGCAGATTTGTTGTAAGACACAAAGATTTTTATCATGCAGTTTTTACACATAATTTCCTAATTAAAAAATGATTTTTGAGATTGTATCATTAACCCATTAAAGAAAAAACAAAGTGTTACATATTGTTCTTGGTGATAAATGATTGTGCAAAGTAAAGGTACAAAAAAAATTTACTTTGCCGATCATTTTGTATTAATTTTTTTTTTAACACTGCAATAAAATTTTTTATTTATTTAAACTTTAATTAAAAAATGGACTCTTCAAATATTAATATTTACGAATATGAAGGTTTTTTAGATGCAGAGTTTGGGCTTTGAGAAAACAGTTTGGACCAGAAACCTTAGTTGACAAATAAAAATTAAAGAGAAACAGAGAATTTGGGAATGATTAATTTATATGGAACATACCAAACAAAATCCAAACCATTTTATAATTTTTTCTTGTTGGCCATATTGCTGACAAAGATGTATATAATCATGTGATAATTTTAACCTACAGGACAGCATAGTGGAAATTTGAAATGTTACACTAATTTTTTATATTGTGCAATGTAGCTTTACAATACATGGCAAACATTCTGGCAATAAAAAGTAAGTGATAAACTGGATTTGAATTTGATCTGAACTTGATCTCCAATTTAGAGAGGTGACAACTATACACTGGGCAAAGTTTCAGAAGCAATGAGTTCTGTACAACATTTAGTGTAACATCAAACTTCCAATATGCTGTGTAACTGTGGATAATGAAAAGCTAATCATGGAGGAGATTTCAACAGACCTCTTGCCCAACTTAAAGGTATTTGGGAAGTTGTCCATGATGCTGTAGAGCAATGTAAAAAAAATCTACATGAACTTGGTGTCTGTTATCAGCACTTTCTCTATGATCAGAACATGTTACATAATGAGAAACATGAATATTTACAAACAGATCAAAGTAAATTGCATCATACACATTGCTTGCTTTGTAAAAAATTCAAAAACTTCATCATATGTAATGGATGTTCTGAACATTCATGGACTGTATGTGGGCGAAGCATTAGAGTTCCTTGCCTGGGATTGCAATCTTGCAAAGCCTTGAAAGATTATGTCCCAATTTCCAAATAGCTCCTGTTCTTTGTATATTTGTTCTGATTGTTTTGAAGCCAATGGAGGCCATTTACATAAAAGAATGGGGTGTGGCTCTAAGAAGTTCAGTTGTGATGAAAAACATAATGATTCAACAAAAATATTAGAATCATTTGGAAATTGGATTTTGTCAGAATCAAACAATACTTCCCAGAAAATATTTCCAACCAGCCAGATTTATCAAATAATATTATACCAACTCAACTGATGATACAAATAGCATTCAAATTATCTAAAATAGATTTAAGCAATGCAAAAAAGGCAACTATGTTAAAAAATGATGAATGCAATAATATTGGAAATATAATTGGTGAATCATTATGGCAATCATGTGGAATAATAAAAGAAAATTTACCAACTCTGCAAAATCCACAATTTCTCACACATTCTCAGTTCTTTTTTAATGGACTTATCACTGCTATTCAGCAAAATTATATTGATGTTGCAAATTCTTTATCACCATCACTTAAAAATCTTATATATATAAGCTTGGAAAAAAAAATGACAACAAAAATGATAAAGATTTAGAATTATGGTGTAAAAGAATTTCAATTCAGGTAACTAATCCTATTGTATCATGTGACATGATAAACCCCACCAACTTATCATTACAATTTTACTATTTATTTCATAGAGCAAAACAATCAACTATTTGAAAGGAGATGTTCATAGGTTATCTGAATTTATAGCAAAACAAGAATTATATACTTCTAAAATACAATTCATAGACCAGCTCTGCAAGGGTTTTGACAAATTTGACATTAGATTTTAAATTTTATCTACTTTTAATGACAATATAAAATGGTTGTATTTTAAAAATAACAAGTTTTTTTAATAGGAATTAAAAAAACATTGCAATTGGGTAGCAGTCGCAGGACATTGCGGATCTACAGGGGGTCAAGTGTCACTCACTAATAAAAAATTTTTGATCAACACGGAA